GTTTTGGCTTCCATTACTTCCATTGACTGCCACCAACGAGTCCAATAATAGTATCGTGATGAAGGATCCAGCTTTAACTTACAACCAAGATCTGTGTCTCATTACTTCCATTCACCTATAGGTGTCACAGAAACCAAGAATGGTCTGGCTTTCTTGACCGTGACAGTGAAATCTTTCTGCACGAACAGATGTATGTACATTATTTGGATTTGATTGTTGAATTTATATAAAAGACATCTCTGCATGTAAATACTAATTATACTTGTAGTACTTTTGTATGAGTTTGATATATTTTAAATTTGGTTGTAGACCGATTCGGAAAATGGTTGTCATTTTTTTTTCTTCCGAAATTAATTTTAATTACCACACCACTATATTCACTGCCACCTTATACTGTAGAATACTTCAAGATTAACAGTTTTACAAACTGTATAATATAATACCTTGTTTTCTATTGGGGAAATTAAATATGGAAATATAGACGTTCATGCTCCACATAGCAAACAAGTACGACTAGCCTCGTTTTGGTTATTGCAGAAAATTCAATTTGCATGGACAGTTTCCAATCTTAAAGTTAAATTCTTACACTTTGCAAAAATAGTCTTCGTTGAATAATTGTGATAACAGTCTTCGTTGAAAAATTGTGATAACCAGTTCTCGAATCGATCAATAAGGTTTATGTATAATGCATTGGATTAAATATATGTAGTAAATTGTAGTACGTTTCTCTAATCATGTGAGTATTTAGCAATTGATACGATCTGTTGTGAATTAGTTAACGTTACTATTGTTTAGATTCTGTCCATACTTACCCCTATCGAATTGTTCCTTTCCTTTCACGCCCTTTTTCAATATTTGTTTCAAGTTGTTATTTTCAAAGGTTTTGTATACATGCAAGAACAGATACGTAAATTAAACAAGGTAATTTTATTTACATGTGTTCTAGTGAAGTATTATGTTTACATTTAACAGTCTTCTCGCTCTGGACCTCTCTCCTCCGCATAAGCTAATTACCTTAATCATAGCCAACAAACAGAAGCCTCTGTGGAGGAGAGAGAGTATGGACTATTTAAATACAAAGTGAATATTTTCGATACATAGGAAACGTCTATCCCCAGCAGGTACTTCTAAATATTTACACTGTAAAAGTCTGATAAACATAGACTATGCCAGAGTAAAAAACTGAAGTTCATATTCCAGTTATATGTTGAGATCACTGATATATAAATCAAATCGCAGCGCGGGAAAATATAAAATTTATTTTAAAATTTATTAAAGTTGTTTTTGTGGACTGCGGTACGTTTTGCTAATCAAAAATGCATATTTTGTTTTACTTTTGACCTTTTGTGTTTTACCTATACAATTTATAAAGTGTAGTTAACATTATACGTTTGAAAAATAGATTTGTAGGGCAAATTTTCTTGATTTTCCCTTCCTATTCCAGCACGAAACATTTTTCCATATTTTTTAGTATTTAACAAATTCTGTATTTTCCTCTAGGTTTTTCAAAGAAAATCAATTTGAAGGTATGAACTAATTATTTTTTATGCTTTTACAATTACTTAAGAAAACATGAAATACTATACCAGTCTCCAGTAAGTTTAATAACTGAAATTATGTACAACACTCAACAGCAGAGTGTTGCTGTTGGAGATACAACTACCTGAAAAATAAAGTATTTTGAGCGAAGGTTTTGCAAACTATTCGTTTTGTATTTTCCAGATAGGTGTATATAGCTGAGCTATACTATATTATTATAATAGTTAAGTGGTTTATCTCCATAAACTGAAACAGAATTATGATGGTCAGAAAACAACATTGTAACATATCAGGGACCTCCCTGGCCGATGTTTTACTCAACAGCCTGAGCGCCCATTGGGCCCATTGGGGTTGGGGGCCCCCGGGTTCACCAGGTCTGAACCCATAGTAGTTATGCCACTGGTATTATTACACAGAATTGCCCAGAAACATGTAGAGTGCCTGGGGCACATTATGAGTTTAAGTCCTATAGATTTTGCTTTGTCAAATAATCTTTTGAGATCATGTGCTCCTTTACAAAAATTGATTTTCACCCTCATGAACTTTTAGGGCAATCCTCAAACTTTTATGCCCTCTTGTGAAAGGGGTCTCTAAATTTTCCCTTCTCTATGTACCCCTTAAGACTAATTGTCTGTGCCTATGGGATTTTATTAAACCATCAGTTATGTTAATTTAAGAACGTAATACTTTAATTTAATTAGAGTCCATGGAAATAGCAGTGACTGAAGAACCACCTGCGGTTCCGACTAAGGAATCTGAAAATGATAGTAAGTTGATGTATGTAATTTGATATGAAATTGGATGATCGAAACAATTGGTTTTCCAGTAACATCTCCGATCTACTGTATGGTGGGAGGTGTAGACTTTGTGAAACGGTCCAATGAGAACCCTTTGTTTGCTTCATTGCTTTCATAATTTTATTTTATTAGAGAACAATACTAAAGAAGATAATGACAGAGGTAGAGTTTTTAATATAGCTGTAATGCTGTATGTTTATGTTGTATCTAGCTGTTTTAGTTACTCTGTGTTCTTGCTAATTTCCATACAGTTAAATGGGCCAATTAAATTAATCTTTTAATTATGAAAATAAGAGTTCCTCATTTCATTTTATTAGATAACAATACTAATGAAGATAATAACAGAGGTATAGTTTTTAACTATGTTGTATCTGTTTTTGTTACTCCATGTTCTTGCTTGTGTACAGTTAAATGTATTGCATTTAAAATCATTGTGATTGTGAAACAATATAACTGTGGCATGGGCAAATTTAAGTAATTGACTTCCAATACTACTATAGTATTTATTTCTCATACATGTAACGAAACTTAATTATAAGCCCAATGTTTACCATAATTATTTGTTTGCAACACATACTGCAAACACTCTATTTGTGTTACCTTTCTTACTTTTTTGTTTAGATACTGCTGGTCCAATTAGGCGAAAAAAAGGTATTATAATTGCACCAGTTTTTCCATGCTAGCTAATTATAACCTTTAACTGTCTAATGCTGGAAGTTTTACTTGTTCAGGGGAGATTGCTACCACTCAATGAGTTGATGCTTTCAGTATATAATTACAGGATATGAAATTGGTTGTTAGAATTGTAATATATATAACACTAATCAGTATCCAGAAGTGGAATATCGGTTTCTCAGATGAGATACTAGAGCTTTGAATCCTATTACCCCAGTGAATTATTGGGAAAATATCAATTTCAGACCCTATATTATTATGATCTACAGTATATATTTAATCTTATGGTTCTCATAAGAGACAGTAGGACATTTTATTCAGGGACCGAGGGCTAACTATTATTTTTTAATATTTAGGGTATTGTTACAAATGTGGCTTGAGAGGCCATCATGCAAAAGACTGCACTTCAAGTAATGTACTTTATATTACCAACAATGGTCAATATTTACATACAGTAGATTTAACATCTTGGAATTAAATACAATCCGGCTTATCCATCCCATAATCCTAACCTACTTGTTAGTCACAAACACCCACACAGTTCCAATGTAGGAAATAGGCACTAATAAGTAGTAACCTTCAAACATCCTGACCAGTGCATATATTAGCATTCATTTATCAGAAGTAAATTCCCCTAATCCCCTCCTTTCTGAAAAGACCATATGTCGTTGGAAAACATGTTCTAAGTACCAACATTACAAAACTAAATTATATATTTCAACATATAGGAGTGGTTTGTTGGACATGTGGCGAGAGGGGGCACATTCAAACAAAGTGTCCCCGCAAAGAGAAGAAAAATGGGCGTGGAGTGGTTTTCCACTGTACGTCATGTACATTTAAAGTCAATAATTAAAAAAAATATTAAATAATAATTATATATTTTGTATATTTCTTGTACATTTACAGTCGCGCCAATAAAAGCATTCCGAAAAATGTTGGCCAGTTCCTCTGAACAATTCCTGAACAATTTGAGATTTTAAGTTCCTTAAAAAGTTCCGAACTTCCTGTTTCATTGACCAATCAGATTGCTCAAAAATAAAATATAAAATTTGATTCGTCAATGAAACAGGAAGTTAGGAACTTCTTAAGGAACTTATCAAATTGTTGAGGAATTGTTAAGAGGAACTCCTCGAAGTTAGGAAATGAACTGGTCAACATTTTTCGGAACGCTTCTATTGGCACAACTGTAATATTTGTAAAATTTTAATACTTTTTATCTGATTTAATATATGGTTTTACTGTATAATAATTTAATAAATTTACATAGTATTACATGTATAATTAAATAACATCAAAATTCATGCAAGTTTCTTGGTGCATCAGTCAAACACAAGCACACCCAACCCCCTTAGATTTGGTCAAAATGGGGGAATAAAAAGTTGGTGAGTGGTAATTAAATTACCCACCCTGTTCAATGAAATGTGCAGGTGTGATCAGATATAATATACAACAACCCAGTGCTTGAAATAACAGCTGATCAATGATTGGCAAGAAATTGCTTATGATCGTTGGTATTTGTCCTGAATAAAATGATCATAGTTTTTTCACATCTCTTCCATGTTCTTATTAGCAAGTAAAAAATGAATCATCATCATATATATATATAATTGTATGTATGTAAAAACCTGTCTCTGAATCACAGTTAGGTAAAGAAAATATGAGATGTTCATTGACCATGCATAATTGTTTATTAAAATATACTAGTATATGTGAGGTGACATAATAATTGTTAGCATATAAGCTTGCATTTTTCATTCGTTTTGTACCTGTCAAAGTCTGACCACAGTTTAGTGGCCAAAAGCGTATCACAATAAATAATTTTGATCAGTGAGCCTCTCTTTCAATTAATATGTCACTGTATTTCACAAGCATCAAGAGGATTGTGCCATTATGCCATAATTCCTAAAATAAAAAAAAGGATTATATATTAAGTGATGTTCTCAATATTCTTAAAGCGAAAAATTGTCAACCTACAGTACTTGGGTGTTGTAGGGGTCTGGATTGGTAACGTTAAAACTAAATTTGCACGACCTTTCAGTGGATCATAGAAATTTGGAGAAGTTATGGTGGCCATGCATCTAAAAATACATTGTGTATTTATTATTCATATCAGAGTCAGTTAATTTAATTACCGTAGTGATTCAAAAATGTCCCTAATGCAACAGGCATCCCAAGTCACTTTCTTGCACAGTAAGTTGGTACAGTTGGTATATGTTATAAGCTCTCCTTGCCCATGGGGGCTGTATATTGAAGCTGGGTTTGAAATTTGCAGTTTCCTGAACCCGAAGACAAATTCTCTTTCCATCGTTTTGTAGTGTGCTACAGAAACACTACAGCAATATCTGAATCCTAAACCCTGCCTCATGTGTAAAGGCTGCACTTGTTCGGTTGAGTGCAAATTGAGCTCGAGTAGATAGTATGTGAAAATCAAGTTGTAGGAAGACAGATTAGCAGATGTTTTAACATTGATATTTGTACTGTCGTAATCCAGAAAGATGGAGAAAGTAGATGCACTTGGGCATTAATTATAAAATAGTCACACTTGGGGTGATTTTTACAACTTTTCAGGTGTGCACCTGATAGTTTCAAGCACACTTGCACTTCAGAAGTCTGGTTTATAGTGCACCCAAGATGTCATCAAGATGTGCCACATCCTGCAAACTGGCTGATGCCAACAGGGTACCAGATTTTAAATACTGGATACCAGTATCGTTTTGGAAACTAAAATTCTTATATTTTTGTGGTTCAACCTGTACTGTACAATGTATATATAGGGGACAGCATAACCCAAATCTACAATACTTTAATTATGAGGCAAGAACATATTATGTGTAAGAAAGGAAAAGGATTTCGAATAATATGCTACAGAGTATGGATATAAATACCTGTTCATATAAAAATTATACTCCTGCACTGCACCAAATTTCCATTAAATTATTTCGTCTTTGTCTATATCTTTCGAGGTTTTATTGTTTAAATAAATATTTGTTGTCATTGACGGGTGTTCAAGAATGACACTGAAATGACTTATAAATCTTTGAACAAATAATCAAAACAAAGTTTTGAAAACATTTTAAGGCCCTTTTCAAAACATCGAGAATTTAAATATATTTTTGCTAAAAAACCAGGGGGGTGTGGAAATTGTAACGGGCTCAGAATTGAGCCTGGTCAGCGGTAATTCTATGAGCCGGAGGAACCAGTTGTCATGGAAATGGCGTCATATGGCGCGAAAATCCGCCATGTTTTTGCGGACACTTTTTTTGCCGAGCACTTCCTCCAGTAATATAGTATAGCTCAGTGGTGGGAATCGATCTGTAAGGTTTTTAGGAGGACATGAGGGGATTACGTGATAGACTAGATTATTCAAGAGCAGCTAAAGAACATGATAAACATTTTAAATGCACTCATTCAAAGTAACCATACAAATCAAAATTTTTCACGAGAAATTCGAC